CATTATTAATTAACTCGCATTTAAAGAAGATTGTTTTATTTCATGTTAAACCAGGGCTACCACAGCAATCTATATTTTTGGTGCTTATAAAAATCTGAGAAAATTACAGTAGCATAGTACTACTCTAAGTAGACTACCATCAAATTTTCATGGCATTTAGATAAGTAAAATAGCCTACACAAAAATGACAAGGCATGATTGCTTAAAAAGGCATAAATAGGAAACCTTAGGTAAAAGTGTCAAGCAATAGATTTCACATTTTTCCTAGTATCATTCTAGTATAAGAATAGCACTCACCAAATTTTACCTTTACTGGATCTATAGAAAAATTATGAAAATTCACACAAGTATTAATCGATGATAAAAGGGAAAATCTATAACTCAAAAACCGTTCATGCAATGACTCTCAAATTTTTATCAGAGCTTCTACTAAGCAAGACTAGCATACCCACAAAATTTCATAATTTTTGGACCACAGAAACTCAAGATATAATTCAAACAAGTTTGCATGTATCTAAAAACACATTTCAAGTTCCTATTTAATTCATCCAAAAATTATACTATAAGTGCTGATGTTATATTTTTCTTAAATACTAGAGTTCACTGTGAGTCTAACAAAATTGGAATCACTCCATTTGGATCTACACACTTGGAGTTACAAAATTCACAAAACAACATCAAAAACTAGATAAATGAACTAGCTTTCTGGATCTGAGCCACTGACAACCGGGACCCACGAAACAGGAGGGCCCACGTGTCAGCGACCGTAAAACAGAGCACGGTGGGGAATCGGCGCGGGATCAGCGCTATCTCGCCGGCGGTGACTCCTCCGACGAACTTGGCCCCACCAAGGTGACCAACTCACCCTCCCGAACCGATTAACACTGGTGGTTAGCATAGAGGCGCACGAGAGGTGGCACATCGCCGGCCATGGCGGCTTGGTGGCACGGCACAGCGGAGCGCCGGCTGTCACTGGCCACGGCTGGCCCAGGCGAATGGCTCTACGGAACCACAGTGTTCAGGCGACACTACTGGTGCTACGCTAAGGTTAGGAGATGCTCTAGGAACACCCAGCCACGGAGACGTCCGCGCGGCGGCGGAGCTCACTCCGGCGAGCTTCGGTCATGGTGGAGAAATGGCTTACCGCACGCTCAAAGCAAGAAATGCGACACGGTGGCGCGGGGGACAACGACGAAGCTACCGGGGTGGCATAGGAGGGGCACGGTGTGACCTACGGTCGGCAATGGCGACGGTGAAGGCGCTCGACACTGGTGGAGCTGCTGCGGTTGCTGCGAGTGAGCGCTGCGGCGAAGGAAATGAAAATGCGCTTTGAGAGCGGTTCGGGCGGGCGCGTGGGAGTTCATGTCGTGGCCAGGGGTGCCAGGACAGCCGCGGCGCGTGGCCTGGCGGTCAGGCGACCGGCGACGCGCGGCATCCACGCGGCGGTGTTTCTCTGAACCGGTCGGCACTGTAGCTGCTGATTCAGCTAACCAACGCGACTGACAGCGAGTTTTCACCGGCCGTTAACTCCTAAACCGTTGGATGTCAGCGAAAACAGTATAAATGAAATTCATAGCTCTAAATACCAGCTACAAATCATGTTAAAGGACCAAGACCTAATTCTCACTGGATCACAAGTTATATCAAGCCAAAGGTGAGTATTTGAAACTGGAATTTGATTTCTGACTTAGAAAATTCTAAGTGTTGAGTCAGCACCACAAATCTGACTTGTGGGACCAATTAGAGCATGTTGTGCACATTTTCATGAGTTGGTCATAAAACAACTTTTGATCCTTATAAAATTTGCTACAACTTTGCTTTAGGTTGCTCAGACATGCATAGACTCTAAGTTATACTTTTTAAACAGTAAAACTAAAGAGTTTAGGAGTCAAAACAAGTCAAACCATTATTTGAAAACTTAATTAGGCAAAATGGTCAACATGAACATTGTTCCTAATGACTTTATAAGCCTAGCTAAGGTGTTTGAAAATATATTTAACCATACCACACATTGGTCACACAAGAATCAAGCATAGAATGCACTGAAACGATGAAAAACAATTGAAATGTTACATTTGTTTCATGGTCATGTTTCACATGTTTCATGATCTTGTTGTATCGTACTAACTAGCTAGGTTCCACTAAAGTAAGTTGTACATGTTGCACTTGAGTGTTGCACACTAATCATTTCATAAACAAAAACAACACTCATGAAATATACAATATGTTGCAATGTTTCGATAACATGTTTCATGTAAAATAAGCTCATGAATGGATGAATGATGCTCATGTTCATGGAATGCAAGTGCAATCATGCAAGCCTAACACCAGGGGTGTTACAGCCCTCCCCCCTTATAAGAATCTCGTCCCAAGATTTAGAGTTACGAACCATTCGTTATAAAAAATTTTATAAGCGTTTTGTAGATACTCTCCTGTTTCCCACGTCGCATTACCATCATCGTGATGACTCCACTGTATCTTATATGTTCTTACCACTTTATTCTGAGTGACTCTATCCTTAGTGTCCAAAACTCGAACCGGTTGCTCATGGTATTCCAAGTCTGATTTGAGCGGAATGCTCTGAGGTTCTATTCTCTCTTCTGGAATACGCAAGCACTTCTTCAACTGTGATACATGGAAGACTGGAAAGATCGAACCCATTGCTTCTGGTAACTACAACTTATAAGCCACGGGACCCCTCTTCTCTACGATCTTGTACGGTCCTACAAACCTAGGAGCAGGTTTTCTCTTTACTCCAAACCTTTGTACTTTCTTCATTGGAGTGACCTTCAGATAAACGTAGTCACCTACCTCAAACTCAAGCGGTCTCCTTCTCTTATCGGCATAACTCTTCTGGCGTGACTGTGCCACCTTCATGTTTTGTTGGATAATATGGACCTTTTTCTCAGCATCGTCCACAAAATCGACTCCGTAAAACCTTCTTTCTCCCGGCTCGACCCAATTCAATGGTGTCCTACATTTCCTGCCATACAATGCTTCAAATGGAGCCATCTTTATACTCTCTTGGTAGCTGTTGTTGTAAGCGAACTCTGCCAAAGGTAACCATGATTCCCATGAACCCTTAGACGACAACACACAAGCTCTAAGCATATCTTCAAGAACAGCATTAACTCGCTCTGTCTGCCCATCTGTCTGTGGGTGGTAAGCTGTACTCCGAATCAAGCTAGTACCTAAACCTTTATGAAGATGCTCCCAATGTGTTGCAGGGTATGAGCCGTACGCACCGCCGACGCGACCACACTGACGTTGGCTACACTCCCAATGTGTTGCCAACAAATCCGAAGAGACAGAGGCGTCCGAGGGATCCTTACACTCCTAGGTCTTAGTTTGTTAGGTCGAACTAATTTTGGCGTCCGAAACTTGCATGCTTAGTTGGTTATGTAATGTCGAACTTATGTCAAACCAATGAAAATATTATGTGGCAACTTGTGAACTTGCGCATGGACTTCATTTATTTGCTTCATATTCGTTTCTATGCGTCGCGGCAGCACTGCCGTCATGATTTGCTTTCCTGGTGTCCCAAGATACTACACAACAGATGATCACCGAATAACAATTGAGGAACAGATTATATATCCCCACAACCTGAAGATCATCCACCAGGAATCCAGGATCGCATTTTTATAGTTGCATTTCTATCTATTCTATGGACCTGAAAAGATAGACAGGGAGGAGGAGGCCAGAAGTCGAAAGTATCTGATGAACTTCCACGATGAGTGCGTACATATATATCCTATGAGTTGTTAAGGAGCAATACCATGAGTCCACAAGTGCTTGTGATCAATTGATTCACCTATAATTAATGTGAGAGGCGTGTAAGGGGGAACTGAAGACCAGTCATTACGGTGGTTAATATGGGCGTGAAACATCCGGTTGCAAAAGGCTCGTCAACACGGACCTCGATGCCGGCGCAGAGTTTGATGCCATGGAGTGACGGGGTGGTCGCCGGTGCGAAGCTCATTGGCGGCACAGGCCTCGGTAGTGGCCGCAATAGGTGGATGGGCGCGTGGCCACGGCGAGTGGCGCAGTTCCAAGCACGAGGCACGGTGGAGGTGGTAAACCGTCCAGGTACCGCCGCGCCATGCGCCGTGGCGCGGCACTGTCGCGCCAAGATCGGTGGCGCGGCAGAGCCCTGCCACGTCAACGGTCGTGATTCCGGTCGTCGCCACGTCAGCCCTCTGCCGCGCCACCATGCATGACACGGCACAGGCATTTGGTCGCGCCAGGGCAATAGGCGCAGCCAAAAGTGTTAGTTTAAAAAAACCCGACCATGTTAGATTTAAAATTAGTTTTTAAAAAGTGTTAAAAAAAATCCCTAGGCACAAGTTCCTCAGATTAAAAAAAAAATCTCGACGGGAACCTAGCTCGATGTATTTATTTTATTTATTTTTCATTAAAATTACACGAGCGGACTAACCAAGCCTAGGTCCAAGACTGTGGGCCGACTCATCCGGTGGGACGGTTGTGGCTAGGCATGATTTTTTCGGCTTCAAACAACTAGCTTTTTTCCGGTACGACTCACAAAGGTACATAATTTAAGATTGCAATCAAATTTGTTGCACAAAAACTACTACTTCGAGCCTTAGAGAAATAAAATCAAGCAATTTTACGTTTGCATGGTGGTTTGTGAAATGGATTTTACCATCGAGGGCTCGCCGGAATAAAATAAGCGGGACAGCTCAATGTATGCGCTGAAAATTTACACACCTTGAAATATAGTAACTCCTAATGCTAAGCTCATAAAATTTACAAATTATAACTGAACTACTAAAGTCGCAACAAAGACCTACTCCCTCCGTCCCAAACTATAAATCACTTTTATTTTTTTGATACGTTAATTTTGATATAGTGTAAGCATGGCGCCTACTGCCTGCTATATAGATATAGTTCCACGCTCTGCTCCCACTGGAAACCAAACCACGCGCATACAACGGAACGGCGAGCTCGTTGCGAAGAAACCACGAGTGCTCGACCACTCAATGGCGGTCCCCGGAGAGCTCGACGGCGGCGCGGCGCACGTCATGTTCATCCCAAGCGCCGGGATGGCCCACCTCGTACCCTTCTTCCGCTTCATCACGGCTCTCTCGAGCCACGGTGTCCACTGCTCCGTCATGACCGTCCTCCCGACAGTGTCCGACGCCGAGGCCGACCACTTCGCGGCGCTGTTCGCAGCGTTCCCACGCATCCAGCGCGTCGACTTCAACCTCCTGCCGCTGGACGCCACCGCGTTCCCGGGCACCGACCCGTTTCTGCTCCGGTGGGAGGCCCTTCGCCGCTCGGCCCACCTCCTCGACCGGCTCATCGCCGGCGCCACCCCGCGCGTCTCAGCCGTCGTCACCGACGTGACCCTCGCCTCCCACGTGATTCCAGTCACGAAGCAGCTGCAGCTGCCATGCCACGTCCTGTTCATCTCGAGCGCCACCATGCTCTCCCTCGTCGCCTACTTCCCCATCCACCTCGACAAGAAGCAGGACGACGGAGGTGCAGCAGGCGTCGGCGTCGGTGACGTTGACATCCCCGGCGTGCGTCGCATCCGGCAGTCCTCCCTCCCGCAGCCGCTGCACGATCTGAACCACCTCTTCACCAAGCAGTTCATTGACAACGGCCGTGCGCTGAGCCAAGCCGACGGCATCCTGGTGAACACGTTCGACGCACTGGAGCCCATGGCGCTTGCTGCCCTGAGAGATGGCAAGGTGGTCCCTGGGTTCCCGCCGGTGTACGCCATCGGCCTGCTCAAATCGTCATCGTCAACCAGCAGCAGCAGCACAGACGGCGCCGGCGGTGAGAGGCAGGCGGCGGCGGCCTCCTCCTCCCCTGTCATTGCTTGGCTGGGAGAGCAGCCGGAAAGGTCGGTGGTGTACATCGCGTTCGGGAGCCGCATCGCCGTGAGCCACGAGCAGATCCGCGAGATGGGCGCGGGGCTGGAGGCGAGCGGGTGCCGGTTCCTGTGGGTCCTCAAGACGACGGTGGTCGACCGCGAGGACACGGCCGAGCCGCGCGACGTCCTCGGCGACGAGTTCCTGGAGCGCGTGAAGGGCCGCGGTCTGGTGACCAAGGGGTGGGTGGAGCAGGATGCCGTGCTTCGCCACGCCGCCGTGGGGCTGTTCCTGAGCCACAGCGGGTGGAACTCCGTGACGGAGGCGGCGGCCTGCGGCGTGCCGCTGCTGGCGTGGCCGCGGGGCGGCGACCAGCGCGTGAACGCCATGGCGCTGGAGAGCGGCGGCGTCGGGGTGTGGATGGAGCGCTGGAGCTGGGACGGGGAGGACGGGGTAGTGAGCGGGAGGGAGATTGGGGAGAAGGTGAAGGCGGCGATGGCTGACGCCGCGGTCAGGGCAGGGGCGGCGAGGGCCAGCCAGGAGGCCGCCAAGGCCGTCGCCGAGGGAGGCACCAGCTACCGGAGCATGCAGGAGTTCATCGGCAAGCTCAAGGCTAGCTAACCTAGTTCTCGATCGGTCCCTGCTGATCGTCGTGCGATTTTTAATATGGAATAATGCTCTGCAGTATGCCAGTACAGCCGGAGCGTATAATCGTGATTATGTGTGCCGTGTGTGTGCTTAGCTAGCTCATGGTTTCATTGTTCAACTCGATCTCCCGTCTCAAACTAAACGTCGCTACGGTATTCGTGTCAATCAAATAAGTTAAAAATGTTTATATCTTAAAATAAGTTTGTTATAAAAATAGATGATCTATCTAATATACTAATTATGTATTATAAATATTAATGTTCTCTTGTATATATTTGGTTAAAGTTAAAAATATTTGACTTCTTGGTAAGCGAAAACGACAACGGAGCGTGTTGTCTTGCAGCTGACCCAGTAGAGCCATCAACTACTATGTAATCATGTGTAAATAAAATTCAGGTGCCTGAATTTTAATTCCCTTTCAAGCCATGGTTATTACATATATTTTATGAAAATTGCAGCTTTAGTTCATTACAATTTGTGTATGCAGCAATTTTTAATTTCCACAACAAAAACTCGTTAGATAAAACCACAAATCTAATAAAATCTAATTTATGTTGGCACAGAGACAATTAGCAATTTATAATTATTTTTATAGTAGACAAAACATGTTATAATACGAGGACAAATAACAAATCATAAAAATACTTGTACTAGTGGATGGAAAAAAAAGTCGTAGAGCAGCTTCTCTGTTTGGTGATGAATGATTGAGGAAGGACAAATGTACTTGTGCTTTCTCAGCCATTCATCACCAAACTTGCAAACTAGTTTGGTGATGAATGGTTGAGTAAGGACAAATGTCCAATATACAACTTTGTAGTTAATTAGTTTTTCATTTGAAATTATTTAGGGTTCTAAAATTATGTTTTAAGATTAATGATTTTAAAATTTATATTTTTTTAAATTTCTCAAATGACCTCGAATGGAAAAATGGTAAAGCAAAGTTGTAGATTTTGACGAGATCTAAAAACTTTGTAGTTAAAACTTTTTAATTTCAATTTGTTTAGGGCTTCAAATATCCATTTGAAAAATTTGTTGACTAAATACTAGGGGATTGTTTCTGGTCCTCAGTCACAAGTGACTTTGGGGTGCAATGATTCCCGGATACTTTCACACTCGCAGTTGGTAAAAGCGTCAGTAAAAATAAGTTTAGAACGGTCTGCGTTCAACACTTGTCAGAATTGCTTGTCAGTAGGGGACACCACCCGCCTTTTATTTTATCTACTCCTCTCTATCTATGACTAGTAATTTGGCGGTCCGCGACGGACAAAATTTGGCTGCATGCGTGACGCAGACCCATTGCATTGCATGCCGTTGTGAAGTGAAAAGGATTGGACCGACAGCTAGTCGTGTACTGCCCACGCCGCAGTGGTCGCGGCGCGAATGGCAACAAACAAACGGAAGCCTACAAAGCCTGTGAGCACGCTGCGAAGTGGGATGGGAGCCCCAGCGTGCCCAGAAAGGCCCAGACGTGCAGCAGTTCACGACGGCCTGGCACGATGACGCTCGACTGGACCACCGACACTGCACGCGCGGGCCAGCTCGTTCGTAACTGGTGGGCCATGTCCTGTCGCGCGGCCCATTTGGCCAGGTCAAGCAGACGTGAAATCACAAGCGGTATCACATTTCACGTCTGCTTGATACCTCTCCAAACAGAACGCACGCTTGTATATATTTTATTAGGCTGTGTTTAGTTCGCGAAATTTGGAAATTTGGTTATGTTAGTATTTTCGTTTTTATTTAGTAATTAGTGTTCAATCATGGACTAATTAGGCTCAACACGTTCGTCTCGCGATTTTCAACCAAACTATACAATTAGTTTTTTTTATCTACATTTAATACTTCATACATGCATCGTAAAATTCAATAAGATAACTACTATAGCATTTTTTTAGGAAACTTTTTGTAACTTAACACAGCCTTGGTGCCGTGTAGACTTCTCGTGATTACCCTACCGACAAATGTGTCGGTACGGTGCCACATAATTGCTCGCTCCACGTGGCCAGTCGCCCCCACTTAATTCAAGGGCAGTAGACGATTCGTTACTGGAGCTGCATGCATGCGTCCTAAAGCCAGTCTCAGTGGGGTTTCATCTCTCAGTTTTTAACACACCCATATTTTAGAAACAGTGCAGAAGAGTTTTATCTCTATGAAACTCTCTCTACTCCCATGAAACTTTTATCTTCTCTCTCTTCATCAAGACAGTGCCATGTCAGCATATTTAATGCCCGTGAAACTCTATGAAATCCCCATTGAGACTGGCCTAAGTAGACAAGATTTAAAGATATGGTTAATTCGAACGCTGCCATTGTAGCTCTTCGAGTTTAGAAATATATCATTGTAATTCGTGATATTGTAAATATGCCATTGTAATTCCCGTGAAACGTGATTCATGCCATTAAGTAGGCTTTCAGGCGTTCGTATACGGCAACATATTTAGTATGGCCCGTATTGCCCTCGTCCGATCGCCCATGAGACCTCCGCCGCACGTCGCATTGCTGCAAACATCCGCTCCTTAGGCGGTACTGCGCTGCCAATTGTCCAAATTGACCAGTATGTTATGCGTTGGATTGCCCAGCTGACCCATCTGACCCATCTGAACAAAGCATATGCCATAAAAAGGTCACAGATAATTTGATAACAAGTTGAAAACTTCTGATAATTTGATAACAAGTTGAACACACTGAACAAAGCATATGCCATAAAAGGTCACAGATAAGTTGATAACAAGTTCACAGATTAGTGCCTGGACTTTAACTGACTACAAGTTCACAGGACTTTAACTGAATACAAAGTTCACATGACTTTAAATGGATACAAGTTCACATGACTTTAACTGAACAAAGCACGGCCTGATTAATAAAATTCAAAAGCACGGCCTGATTTCTAGTTCAAAAGCATGGCCTGATTATAGGTTCACAATCACAGCCTGATTACACACAGCAACCATCAAAAGCACTCGACATTAAGATTCAGGAATCAGTGACTTGAGCAGTGAGTTGGGTATTAAGGAACTGTGACAAGCTCGTGACAACTCTAGGCTGTGGTGCGGCGGCAGCCTTCTGTTGCTTTTTCTTCACTGGAGTCTTCTTCTTCTTAGGCGTCTTCTTCCTTTTGGGACTCTTTTTCTTCTTTTGTGCTGCCTTCTTCTTCACCTCTGACGGCCCAGCAGTGTCATCATCTTGTTGCCGTTTCCTGCATAGTATAGTGGTTAGCACTAGGTTCAGTGCAGAATGCACAAGAAATGCTTTGAGAATGAGTCACTAACCTCTTGTTCTGTGATCTACCCCCAATTTCTCCATCGGAGTCAACCTCAGCAAATTTGCAAGTCTTGACAAAGTCATCTCTCTGACATGTTGTGTCAAACAACTCAGGTATGTGTATGTATGGCATGCCATTACTAGATACTGGGGTGGAGTCAGGCCAGGTGTAGCTGGAATGGAGCACTATGAATCAAAGATGCAGCAGCCTGTGTCATCACCAGGGGTTCAAAAAAACGAGCCCTGCGATGCTTTGGACAGCATAACAACCAATGGACTGGGCCTTGTGAACCCTGAGAAAGTATTCAGTTTCTACAATGAACTCCACTCGAATCTTGCATTTGCTGGGATCGATGGGGTCAAGGTAGACGTGCAGAACATCCTTGAGACGCTGGGTGCTGGCCATGGGGGAAGGGTACTGCTAGCTAGAAAGTACCAGCAGGCTCTAGAAGCTTCCGTCGCTAGGAACTTCCTTGACAATGGCATCATATATGCATGAGCCACTGCACAACACTGACAACCTATACAGGTAAATAGCTTATGCTGAAATATCTTGAAAGCTTTTTTTAGCAAAATATCTTGAAAGCTTTCTTTGGTAAATCAAAGATGTTTATAAAAATCATGTCAAACAAAAAGCAATGAGTCATAAAAGATGTTTATTGCAGAAAGATTATAAACACAATATCTCTTCAAGTCTACAACTAACATTTTTAAATGGTGTAAATCAAAGCTTAAAACATCAGCTACTAGCTGCCTCTCTCATCTCGCAAAGCGTAGATGCTGCCCAATAGCCCAGCAACTGTACCTTGCACGGCCCTCGTCTTCTTCGTATGTTCATGTACTTGCAAATACAGAGATTGGTAGATCCGCCCCTGATCCCCAACCACTCTAGTCATACCGAGGGAAGATTTTGCAAGAGTTAATAGATTACCTGGCCTTGTTGCCAGCCATGGCCGACGAACTGCTCCCACACGGCTCGCCGGTCGCAGGGAAGTCTATCATCTTGCTCAAATCAATGTGCAGACTTGGGGAATCAAGTCTCCTCCACCACCACCACGTGCTCTAGGCATGAATTGCCGCCTGCACAGGTTGCACAGCCTCCGTCGAGCCTGCACAGCCTACGCCGCCGCCGACTCTGGTTGCTGGGTTAGGGTTTGGGGACGGGGAGAGAAGAGACGAGAGAAAGACCGAGAAAGAAAGCAAAGCGAGCCACGAGCGACCTTGACTCCTCATGTAAGTCGGATGAGGCAAGGGCAATACGGGCCATACGAAAAATGTTTCCATATACGTATGCCTGCAAGGTGGGCCACAGGTCGTTGCAAACGTACTTAATGGCATGAATCACGTTTCACGGGAATTACAATGGCATATTTACAATATCACGAATTGCAATGGTATATTTCTAAACTCGAAGAGTTACAATGGCAACATTTGAATTAACCCTTAAAGATAAAAACGAGGGGATGTTGTATCATGCATGCACTATTATATGAGACTTTTCCCAGTGTGCCATTATAAAAGATCGTAATCTTCTGTGTGCCTCTGAAAAAATTCAGCGGTCTTCAGCGCCACTACTCCAACTTTTTCGTGTCCTCCATGCCACTTCTGTCAGTTTGAGAACGCCGTCAAACTGCAGGTGTGAAAAGACGAAAATGCCCTTAAGTTCAAATATGTTATTAATTTTTTTAGCATCTTAACGACTTCAAATGAAAAAAC